TGCATGGGAAAAGTGATAATGTCTGTATTTTTGCTCGAAATGCTTTTAAAAGCATGTGAAGTTTAACGTGTACCTTGAGCAAGTGAGCCACATCTAATCCCTGAATTTATAGTATAATACCGTTGTCTGCAAATTTCAGTTGCAAAATGAGCAAAATGCAATCAAAATGTGGTACCCTCCCTTGGAGAAAACTGTATCGTGCCTGTCAAAGCTATATCATTCCCTCGAACCAGCTGTTTTCACTGGTTTGGCACAGGTAATATGCAGCTTTTTACTAAACTTCTTATTGATAGACGTTCCCTTGATTAACATTCCAATTTGTTGTCTTCATCAGGAAGCAGTAGAAGTTTGCTCTCTATCCATTCACGTAAGCCATACTTTTCATTAACAGTGTATGATATGACTAGATTTAGTGTCTAAACCATTCCGAGGGATCTAATTTCTTCAATGTCAGACACATTTCTACAAAACCTTGAGGATCACATAGTAACAAGTACTTCTACTGTGATAATTATTCTCTATTGGTTATTCTTTTGTTATATTGGTCTGTATGAAGTATGCAATACACTTAATTACAGAGGCAATCTGTTAGCCCTTACCGATATTTTTTTTTCCTGTTTGGCTTCAGAAAGCTAGCAAACTCATTATTAAGAGATCATCTCCAATGGATGGTCAGCTGTTCCTAATAAAACATCTTCTAATCCTAAGGGAGCAGGTATTCTTCTGGCATTAACCTTGATATTCCCTTTGTAACGTCTACCTTCTGACATAAATATACTGGCTTCCAGATTGCACCATTTGATATTGAATTTTCGGTGACGCATAAGGAACTTGATTTTTCACATTTATTGGTATGTAACAAAGTCTTTGTTTTTTTTGTGAATTATTTTCTGCGTTTTGTCATCAAATTTTGGTTGGTGCACTGCCTTGTTTTGGGCATTGAGAGTAAATGCTGTCTTAAAATCAATTAATCATCTAAGATTCAACAGTTTTGTCCTCATGAGGCCATTTCTCGGTGGATGAGCTATGAAACAGGAGGATTCAGTAATTTGATTGTTTCCTACTTCTAAGTTTCTGCTTTGTAATCAGTATTGTCAACCGGCATACTTGTGTCTTTTCTCAATGTTTGTGGTGAAACATGTCCTTTACTTCTTACTGTATTTTCAGGAACAACTAAGACGGATTCTTCGGGGACAAGCATCAATATTTGACATATCAAGATCAACATCGTTGGCAAGGACATTGTCTCCACGAGTTCTGGAAAGCCAATTTGATGCCAAGAAGGTACATTTCATCCCCCCCCCCTCCCGAAAAAAGAAGAAAAAACCTATTTGGTTTTGCTTTCGAGAATATATCTCGGTTGAATCCATCACATTTCAGGAACTCGAGAGAAGCCTTAAATCAACCTGTGAGGAGTTTATTATGTCAGTGACTAAGCTGATTGTGGAGCCATTGCTTTCTTTTGTTACCAAGGTTGGTTCAGCTTTGGTTCTTTGTTATTTAAAATGAAAAATATACTTGCACTATGTTCGGTTCAAGGAATTGAGAAGGGGAACGGAAAGAAAAAGGGAAAGAAAAGCAACTTTGGTGTTTGGTTAGAAAAGAAAATTGGAAGGAAAAGAAAAGGTAACGAATATGTAATTTAAAATTGTAAATGTGATTTTCCTTCCATTTTCGTAAGGGAAAGGAGAGAAAACAGAACACTCCANTCCCGCCCCACCATCGCCTCTCAACTCTGCCATTCCCCTCTTTGAACAATTTTTTTTTGTTTTCTCTACAACAACAACCCAGTTGAATCCCACAAGCGTAGGGTCTTGGGAGGGTATGTACGTAGGCCTTACCCCAACCCGAAAGTAGAGATGCTGTTTCCAAGAGATCCCCGGCTCAAGTAACACAAATAGCACAAACTCACAGAATACACATAAAGCAGAGGGAGCACACTGTGAGCCTCTCACACTTCTGCACTGGGGCCTCATCACTCCCCTTCTCAAATGCCCAAACCATCTCAACCTAGCTTTCCGAAACTTATCCTCTACAGGTGCCACTCTCACCTGTCCCCAGACAACCTCGTTTCAAATCCTATCTAACCTCGTCTTTCGACACATCCACCGTAGCATCCGCATCTCTGCACCCTGCAGCCGACGAATGTGGGTCTTCTCTCACTACTAACCAAACAAGATAAAAAAAATTGTTTCTTTCATTTTCTTTTCCATTCCTTCACATTTTTCTTCCATAATTTTGCGAACCATAGTGTAAGAGTCTAGAATGAGTGGACATATAATGATAGAAACAATGAATTAATTGTTTGGAAGCAACTGGTCCTCTATACAATTATTCTGTGTTACTAAATGAGCATATTCGTAAAAGGTATAAGAGCATTTTTATATGCAGAAGATGTTCATCTTTGTTTAAGGTAAAATCCAAGTGGCTTCTTCAATCATGAAATGCCGGGTAGCAAACTATTTAACTGCGTAAACAACCAAGTTTTGAAGCCAAAACGCTATGATTTTGACACAACTAGACCCATAGGTTCATCTTTTCTAGGCAGTATTTTTTCTTAGGGTTGGTTGTAGTCTGAGCTATGCAACCAGTACTTAACTGTATACTCCGTATATCAAGACAATGATCACATACTGTAAATTTTTAGATAAGACAGTCTTTAATGGGAGTTTATGTGTCATTGACCGAAAAAAGTTCTCTAACTAGGGATATCAAATTGTCTCGAAGTTATTGCTGCATATATCAGACAATAATCACAGAGGTTTAATTAAAATATACTTTAGTTGGATTCTATGGTTCTGTTTGGCTGGAAGTGCCTGAGTAAATAGCTTTTGACCTTGACTCTATATGGTGATGTGTTTTTATCATAAGTCCTTTCTTTTTTAAAACATAAAAGTGATTTTCTCAAAAATCACCATTCTACTGCCTGTTTTTTTTCATTTCCCATCTATTTGAAGTAAAGTTACTTGCATTCCTCTAAAGAGCACTTATTCCTTGAAAGTAAGTAATCCCAAATGCTCTCATGCTTATTATTTGACGGAAATGGATGTCGCCAAACTCTCCCTTTCATCCATTTCAGCCATATAAATATATAACCCTTACCAACGGGCCTCATGTATTATTGATGAAGAAAAGTGCCTTAACAAAAATATGAAATATGGTCTGTGAAGGTTACTGCTGTTAAAGTTGCCTTATCTGGCAGTCAAAATCAAAAGTTTGAGTCTGCAATGGCAAAGCCGCTCAAGGATCAAGCATTTGCTTCTACAGAAAAGATTGCGGAAATTCTCCAGAAGGTACGACATATCACATTGGTTTATCCAATGCCTTCAATTCTTTACTTTCATTTCCATTCTCCAAGAAAATTTATGATTGTCAACTTCTATGATCTTTTTTATGCACAGGTGAATGCAGCAACTAATGAAGATTTGCCGAGGGTGTTGGCAAAAATGAAGCTTTATCTACAGAACCCTTCTACGCGTGCAATTCTTTTCAAACCGATAAAGTAAAGATTATATTTTTGGCCATTATCACATGAGTGATGTTCTTTTGGCACCAAGGGCTGGTGTCATATTATGACACTGGTTCATTTGAGGGCCCTAAGGTATCCTGTTCAATCTGAAGTGATTCTTACCCTCCTGACATCCTCCACCCAGCCCCCTCTATATTTTGCTGATAGGGTATGAACCACTTCAGGGTCGAACTGAGCACCATATGGCCTTCAAATGGACTGGATGTCATATTATGACACCCATGAGTGGTGTCAAAAGAACCCATCTCTTATTACATTGCCTAACATTTTTTTTGTAGTTTTAAAGGTAAATTGCTTGCATCTTTGGATAGAAATTTTATCTGGTTTGTATGGTGTTTCCATTGTCTTGCAGGACTAATATTATTGAAGCACATTCTCAAGTATTGTCACTCCTCAAAAAAGAGTATTCGCCGGACGATATACAAAGCATTGTGAATATGCTCTCCATAGAAGACTTGGAAGTAAAACTTGACAGCCTCCTATAGTTTTTACCCCGATTTTAAACACGGTTTTAACTTTTTCTATTCTTTTGTGAACAAAATATATTAATTCGAGGAAATCCACCGAAAGTCTTTTTATGACCATAATAAGATCACCAAATAGATAATGGCTATGAACTTGTGTCGCTACCGTATGAATAGATCGTGTCAATAGTTTTGAGAATCGGATTGTCTTAGTTGTTTGTACGTAACATAAATGTTTGGTAAAATTACTCTAGTTTTAGTTGAAATTAATTTGAAACATAAAAGACTTGAGGATTCGATTTTGTTTTTACGATTGTTTATAGCTCTACAAGTTTGAGAGTTAATTCTATGCATTGTTATTGTCATTCAATTGCGTGTGCGTGTGTGTACACACACACAGAAACGTTGTGTACACACACCAAAGAATTAATTAGTTAGTCATTTCTTTAAGAAAAAATGTGAAGCACATAAAACACACACATATTATACAAAGATGTATAAAAGGCAATACTATTTGGTTCACTTCTTCGCATCTCCCATAATGATTTTAAATAGTACAATGCATCTTTTAAATGAGCTTGACATTATTTCGCTTCCAAGTAGTTTTATTATGGGTAATATTGTGTGCCGTATGAGGTGGAAGAAAATCATTCCGTGCTTTAAACCAGTGAGGATAATTCTGTCAACTATCCTTATTTTGTTATATGTTTCACATTTTTGCATAGCATGCACATGTTTTGCGTGATTCACATTTTTTCTAAAAAAGAAAACTAATTATGGAGCCCCTTTTTTACTAAAAAAACTATTTCACAACTTTTGAAAGTGTAAAGACCATTTACCTATTTATATGTAAGACCAAACCTCTTCATGCAATTAACTCTAAATATTTAAAAATTTTGCACAAGATAAATCTAATGAAAGTGTTTCTAGTACTCATAAACAATAATTTTTTTATTTAATAGAGATTAAATTATCCATTTATACTCAAAAAAATTAATTTGGACGAGTACCCAGTAGTATTTTTTTTTTTTAATAGTGTGTAGGTCTATGTTGTAGTTGGATGAAGCCAAAAAAAAGGAGACTAAATAAGAACCAAATGAAGATGCATCATAATACGTAGTAACCAATTTCACAATTGTCAGCATATATGTACACACACAGCTTAACTGCGCGTAAATGAATAGCAAATCATCCTGGTCTATATGACACTATATGACACTGTACACTTTTACACCAGTCTGTGCTTTAAAGAAGAATGAAGAGATTCTCATAGGGACTCTGTGTCAATCTGCAATGGAACCTTGGCATAGAGATTATCAAGGGCATTGTACAACGGCTTGGCAGCTCTTGGTCTTTCCACTACTGTCCCAAGAAGGATATCGGCGGTAGTAAGATATGGATCACCGTAAAACCGAAGATTGGTATCCATTCTGGTTGCAACAATGTTTCCCTCCAGTGATACTCCAACAAATGCACCTAAATCATACAGAGAAACAAAAAAAAAAGGTCAATAACTTTTAAAATCATATATGCACTACAACCTCTATCCCCCCCAAAGATCAAGTCATGATTTGAGGAGCTTTGTTGGTCCCGAAAAGTGTCTTTGAAAAAGGAGATCGTTTTGCATTGTAATTTCCCTCCAAAAAAAGTTTAAAAAAGCACTGAAGATAAAAATGATAATAGTAAAACCAACAAACAATTAACTTAAGGATGTGTGTCGGTTTGATGCGTATAAGAGAGGGGTATATTTGTCAAATACGGAGTATGCAACTCTTATGTGTCTTCGTTCTTGTGATCGGTCTTTCAAAACTAGCCTCTCTAACTTTTATAGGTAGAGGGATAAAGCCTGCATAGACTCATCAGCTAACACCAGGTAGGTTGTTTTTGTTATTTGGGACATATATTGTAGTAAACAAGATTAAACTGATCAACATCTAGAAAGGCTCCACCTTAGCATCACCCATCACCATAACTGTTCGAATATGGAGGAAGTGTCTAAAAGTAAGATGAGAGACTTCACTGGTTGTCTTAAGAGGGGGAGGAATTGGCAAGTTTAACTAAATCTTTTAAGGAGGGTAGAATAAACCGAATTCAAATTCTAGTGTTAACAAAACTCACAGATAGGCTCGGATAATGGGCGTGCAATTGATTACCTTTACTACAACTGTAAGTATAGCACATCCCAGAACCTTTGTCTCCAGCACGAACATCTGCCTCCAAAACCCTTCCAACTGGACCAGCCGCAACACTGCATCCAGCTCCAAGAGAAAAGTGCATGCGGCTACAAAATGTTTTTACGGCTTTAGAGTCATGTAGCACAATTATGAAGTCCATGAGCTCCCCTCCAACCTATAAAGATGAGCATTAAAAACAAGGATCAACACTACTAGTGGCAGCATAAGAACCATTAAGCAGTTAGTTCTTGGTCCCAAGAGGTCACATTTCATAATTTGTTTCTTTTGGGGATAAAAAACGAGTCACATTTCATTTAAAAAAAATAATTTTCATTGAACTTAATTCAATGTTTCTATAAGAAGTATTTGAAACAAGTTAAGAATGTTAGATCTGATTAAAAAAGAAATAAATTTAAAAATAAAAGTAGGACCATCAAATTTCAAGAATTAAACCTTACTAATATAAAAAGGTTATACCTTGGTAAAACCATAAAATGGAACTTCCTCTTATTGGACTGATAGTGTATAATAATAGGTTGGATCCAATCCATACATTTTGTATTATATGGAAGGTTAGTAATTCATCCACTATCTTTTAACCCATTGAATTACATTTTCAAAATATTTTAAATACAACATAACACTTGAACTTTTCACATATATTAAGGATTATTTTGTACTATATGGAAGGTTAGTGATCCACGTAGCCGACCCCACCTAGTGGGATAAGGCTTTGTTGTTGTTTGTATATGGAAGGTTAGTGATTCATCCACTATTTTTTTAACCCATTGTATTACATTTTCAATACGTTATGAATCCAGCATAAAATGATTTTTTTCACATTTGATTCCTACAGATGTGCTGAAGTATCATAACACACATTGCTCAATCATCACTAGGCACAAAAGTAATGAGAAAAAGGATAGATTGGATACCCATTAGTGAAAAAATGTTAATGGATGATAGGATGAACTTTATAAAATGGATTGTGGACCAATTGAATTTTTAAATAAATTTATAATGGATAATAACTGCATTAATTGATTGTTTTCAATCCATCCATCATAGTCCAAAGTAGATGTATCCAATCCATCAATTTTCCATCATTAAGCAAAACTGGCAAATCAAACAGCTCTTAATCTTATGTATAGCAGCAGCAGTTATTCAAGTACTCTCAATGGTGAAACTTGGAACATATATTATATACCTGTGGACCCCATCCCAAACCCATTGAGACTATTGCTGATGGTGCAGACCATGACCCATCTGTTCTTCGAACGACAACCAGACCAGTCCCCAGTTTGTACGTAACAAGAGCACCCGCTTTGGCGACAGTCAATATTGCAAGACCTCTGGCTCCTTTCAGCACAGCTGCAGGTATAGACCGCTCGGGATTCAACCGAGCAACCTGTTCCTTTCAAGAATAACGTAGATTATTATTACTCCATCCATCACAAAAAAGGTTCCTATTTGACTTTGGGCCAAAATTTAAAAAAAAACTTTGACCATGAAATTTGAAAAGAATATGTTGAATAATAATATAAATTTAATACGATCTAATAGGAGCATCATATTTTTTATAAAATTTATAAATGTATAGATATAGATATTAATGGTCAAAGTATCACATTGGAGACTGTGAAAAGTCAAATATACACCTTTTTTTGGGATGGATGGAGTATTATGAAATTACACTCATTTAGTACTCTATGCATGACCATTGGGAATTGCCTTCTACAGAGTATATATTTAACCACCAAATAAATCCCCACTCTATAATTCTACTCTGTCCGAGAAAATCAAGTTCAACAAACACGTCGAGGTTATTATGATACGGGTGGCCAGTGTCATAATAGGCCAATGTCATGACACTTGTCAATTTGAGCACCCTATGGTGCTCCCAGTTCTGGTCAAAATGTTGACCTGATTGCCAGCCANGGGGGAGGGGGGTAAGAACCTCGGGTTGGAACGGAACACTGTAAGGTGCTGAAATTGGCCAGTGTGGCCACCAGTGTCAAAATAACCAAAGTGCGACAAATGCACAAGTGTACAACCATCATAAATAATGAACCATACTTGTACGTTTAAGTTTATTTGTTGATTAAACTATATTTATCATATGTGATTTGCTTGTATGCGACTCTTTTTTGGAAAAGTACATGAAAAATTAAATTTGTTGATCAAACTAAACTTTTTTGGGGAACAAAATGATAACAACAAAACATTGTTTTTTTTGGATGGAGAGAGTACACTTCTCTTCACCTGAGAGAGATGATTAATGAGGAACTTTTTTAATGAATACTGTATATATCCACACATAAAAAAGACCTAGTTAGGAATCACGACCTGGGTATAGCTCCTCAAAGAATTAGTTGACTTGTATATCTCATACTCCATTGAGAAACCAACAGGAAGATTCAACCAGGCTCTGGAGCAAGTCCAGTCCATCACATCATGCTTTGCGGCCTGCATAGCATTGCTAATCCCATGGATCAGTATACCCTGCAACGGATCAAGCCTCTCATAACAGGTGTCACAAACACGCTGTGGGTTTCTCTCTCTAAACTTTACAGGCAATAAGCATCTCCCTTTTGAACACGCCCTACAAAATATTCCTCCACAAAATCGGCAATGATGCCTTCCACGCGTTATGGCAGTGAAGGGGGATGTACACTGCATGCATACATTAGTTGAACTGTCGTTAAGCCACTCTGGAGGTTCAGATTCCAAAACCTCCCTATAAGCATTATAATCACACGCATTAAGCTCATTGAGTGGTGGTGCACTGGGTGTGTATACCGAAGAATGCAAGAATGCCTCTCCATTCTTTCCAGATCCAAGAAATGATACATTTGAAGTGGGCGTTTGAGAAGCTATATTAGAAATTGCACCTTTATTGCGTCCTGTAACTATGGCAAATATCCCACTCAACACATTTCTCAGGTTAACTTCAGGAGGACCACTGTGATGCACATAACCATACTGATCATCACTGGAATCATAACCTCCTTCATTTAAATCATCGGAATCCAGTGATGGGTATGGATAATGGTGATCATTTTTGTCTGGGTTGGGGTGATCTGTTAATGCCCATGCAGAAGGATCATCGTAGTCTTCGACAGCATAAAATTTTTCATTCTGCTTTTGTAGATTAGCCATAGAAGAATATGAAACTCTACTTTCTGGAGAAACCTCATCCATTGCACGCAGCTAAAATCCAAACCACCAAATGTATAATCTGTGACGAAAAACAAAGAGAGATTACAGAGCATATACTTTGCCTAACTTTTGCAAAGAACCCATGCGCGTAATAGCAACAGCATTAACTTCTAGGATTTGTCCATTTTTGGTTCGTCATCTATAAACTGGAAAGAAATCAGTAAAACCAATAACGACAATCCACTTCCCACCGGAAATCCCCAATCAAACAAACCCTAATTATAAAGTAAAAAAGACATCTTTCAGGCTAAAAATAAAGCAGCAAGCTGAGTTCAGATCGGCGGTCTAGGAAATTAGGAATAATGATAGAAATTTACGACCAACATGTATGAAGCAGGGAGGAGAACATGTCAAACCTGGGGAGGAGTCGCGTGTCGGCCACGGAAAGTCAACGCGGTGGTGGATAGGAGATCAAAGGCGTCCGGCACGGCGGAGAAGCAGTCTGAAGCCGGCAAATATGAACCGGGGCGGGTTGTTGTGGCGCCTAGTTGCAGAGTCGATTGGCTTTTCGAGGCTTCTTCAGCAGCAGAAGGATAAAGATGATCGAGGGAAGGCTCCACGCTACGATCTTGGTGGGGACCTCGGTAGCCGCTTTTGTTTTCAATTTGATTTTTTCTTTTTAAAGATAATTCTTCTTTTTTTTTCTTTTTAAAAAAAATTCTCTTAATAATCCAAAATTACTCTATATTTCAAATGAATTTCAAGAGTAAATTCTATAAATGGTCCCCTATTATATACTGTTTTTCATTAGTCTCCAATGATAAGATATTCCATAAATAATAACTTCATTGAGACTATTTGATACACGCAATTCAAACTATGGAATTGGAATTGAAGAATTCAATTCTAATTCTGGTGTTTGGTAGCACAAAAATTATATGGATTTGGAATTGATAGTGTTAAAAATGAATTGAAATTGGTAGAATTCAATTTTATGGAATTGAATTCCATAAAACTTCAATTCCAATTCAATTCCAATTCCGTCAATTCCGTATACCAAACGGACCCCAATCAAAGGGAGTATTAAAACGGAGTATTAATTTTTGAAAACTATTTTACAAATAATCTTTTTCACCAAATATGAAAAAATATTTTGAGTAAATTCTTAAAATGATCCTTTGTAATAAGGTTTTTCCAAAGTAATTTTCAATAGGCAAAAATTACTAACATGATACTTTATAATTGAGATATGTTTCCTAAATACTCCTTTATAATTGAGATAAATTTTCTAAATACTCTTTATAATTGAGATGTGTTTCCCACTTAATTTAAAAAAAATCATTGTGAGGATTTATTCATAGTTTAGATAATAAAGAATATGAAAATAACATCTATTTAATTGTCATTTAATAGATACTTTTTATAAAGGACTATTTACGAAACACATCTCAATTATAAAAAACCACATTAGTAATTTTTGGAAAAAAAACCAATTTAGAAAGAATCATTTTGCTAATTTACTCAAAATATATAGTCATATATAGCATACCCCAAGTCCCAGAGTATACATGGAGTATGAATATTAATGCAGAGTATTATATAGTACTGTACAATTTTGTGGTTCACAAAGCAAAGGAGAGCATTTGCCCAAATAACCCCAAGATGAAATTTCATGTTTTGATCACATTGGACAAAATCATAGGCACAAGATAAACAACCACAACACCAATAATAACAACCCAGTATAATCTCAACTCCATTGGGGTCTGGAGGTCAAGATGCACATTTTGATTTCACTCATAATGTGGCCCCAATCTAAAACAATTTCAATAGTCACTCTTTTAGCTCTATTGGCAATGGACACGGTAAACTATTCGAAACACATCGGGGTGAAAGCATCTACATATGTCATGTTGTCATCAATTTATTTTACAAAATTGATGCCACGTAGGACCATGACGCACGCTAGCACCATGGTGTTTCAAATAGGTCCTCGAAAACATTTGAAGGATCAAACCCGAAGTTTCTTTCCCGGATGTGAGGAATCGTCATCGTTGTCATCACCTCCTTTCTCCTCCATCTTCTTTCGGGACAGAATTTTGTTGATCTTATGGAGCTCGTTATTCAGCTTGTGGTCTTTGTTTTGCTTCCTCGTCTTCCTCCCGTCTTGCATCTTCACCCCAAACTGGAATGCAGCTTTTGGCATTGCTTCCTTCTGTTCATTGTATGCTGCCCACTCCTCGTCCGTCTCAAAGTCCCACCTATGAAGTCGCCCTTTTGCCTGCACAAGAAATATATAGCAATTTTTTTTAATACAGTATTTCTCTAAAACCACTAGTCTTTCATATCCATCTTTGTCAGATATAGTGTGTGGTATCTTACAACTAAATGGATTATTGGCTATTTAGCTCTTAGCTAATCAAATGCATAAAGAAAACACTTACACGTCCACCCATATCCATCTTTGTCAGATCAGCTTCATCATCACTGTCAACAACCTCACGGTTGTACTCTTGGTAGCCAGGATAACACTCGGAATAGCTCTCAGAAACAAAATTGGGATCCTTCTCCCGAGCATCTCTCTCTCTCAGCTGTTGAAGTCTCTGATCATCGCGCTTAAAAACTGATCCTAAACCTCTATCCTTTTCTTCTTGGGTTATGAAACGCTGATCTTCATGAATGACAGAACCATTTTGTGGGTCATAGGCCTGTATGTTTTGCTGGAGGTATTGATCGTCGGGATAACCCACTTGCTCGGCATATTGGTAATCCAGCCATTCTGATGGATATACACCACCAAAGGCCTGTGCTTGAACAGCATCATACCCATTCTGAACAATATGGATAGATACAGCATTAATGGTAATATAAATATGAAAAAAGAACTGTACTGCTAAAACCAGGGATAGTTTGGTAATCGTCAACCTTATCTGTTATGTTAATCACCAAACATGCCATTGCTTGGCTCAATTGACTTATAATAAAGTAAGAAGCTGTGCTTTTTGGGATGAAATGGATGAAAATAATGAAAATGACACTTCAGACTTCAGTTTTATATAGTACATCTTTCAAATCTATTAAAAACAAATATTTTGGATAGTTTGGTCATTTTAGTGATTTGGGACACAATTTCACCAAACATGGTCTAAGTGTAATTGGTGGCAGATGGAAACAAATATGACATGCCATTCGGCATGGCCTCTGCTTAACAACAGTGAGGAGTTGATTTTCAAGCATAAATTACAGCACAATGGAGTTGTGACAGGATCAAGCTCACCGCTTGTTGCCAGCCATGAGGTGGCTGTGATGATGGAATTGAGGCATATGCAGCAGGTTCACTGAAATATGAGGTTCTCTCTCTATTACGAGGAGATTCTTCCATATCTTCCGATACAGGGCTTCTGTTTGAATCTACAGCAGGGATAGAATAATCAACTCCTTCCCCAACAAATATATCTTCTTCTTCGACTCTATCAACAGTAGGGCCATGTTTCTCCCTCAATTCACTAAGATGACTATTCTTAGAAGATTCAGGAGCAGGTAGTACACTTGTGCTGTCAATATTGTTCTTCATTGCATCTGATTTTGATATGTGCTCTTCGTGACCATTGGGGAAACCAGAAACCTTCCCTGAAAGGAAGAACATGTTTTGTGAGCAAAACCAGAACTAACGGAATTTCACTGCTGGTCAGGTTGAAATTCCAGTTTGGGTTTCACAAAGTTTATATTCAGGAAACCAGGAAATAATGACAACAATGAGGAATTAGTTCTGATCTCACAATCTCAGATCAGGTGTAGCTATGAATCTTGGATCCTACAAATTACTTACTTTAATGTATTTCAACTATTCTAGCCTTAAGCCATCTCCACGCTAGGACCCCTTAGATCCATTAGTGTAAGAACATACAAAATGATGTGAAAGAAACACAACAAAAAATCATGCATCCATGATGTTTTATATTAAGACAAAAAACAGAAAAACAAGTGAACTGTGACATAATAACCTTTTCCATCTTTTTCCTTTTTCTTCTTCTTAAGAACTTTCCCAGATGATCCGAGGCGGAGATATGTCATAATTTTAGCAATCCTATCCAACACGGACCCATCAACGCTGACAGTAACCATTTCCTGAAGAAAAAGTAAAAAGAGCAAATAAGATGATAGAATGTCATTTATTTGGATGGTGAAAAGGATAATACTAACAGGAAGGAAGAAACACCTCAGGAACAGGACAGTCAGCTTTACTCCTGTGGAGAGTGGTTGGAATGTCATTGGAAAACCCACTTTCCTGGAATGCACAATGTACATGAAGAGCTGATGCATGCATGAAGAAAAAAGTTATATAGCAGTGAATTTAAGATCAGTTACCATGTTAAAAATGAAAGCCATCCTCCCAGGAAGGAACATTTCATTGGTCTTTACAGAAGTCTGGGGTTTGACTATGCACTTGTAGATTGACTGCAAACCAAGGCCAGATAGAGATCACTGAATTGAGAGAGCATGTAATATAATCACAAAAGGATACTTAACACTTCAAATAGTAAACTAACTATTGAACCTTTGCAGTTGTAGTGCGGAAAGACATTGTTTGATCTTCCTTAGATGCTCTGTTAAAAAAGAAAAAAGGAAAAGGGCACAACACTCATAATCTATATGTTAGAGTAGTTTGACATTTAATCACCCTTATATACTTAATAAAACAATTTGATAGAGTGAGCATAAACAAAAAAAAAAAGAAATGAAACTGAACAGAGTAACAAATTTCCACACTAGAAACAACAACCAAGCCATCACCTAGCTTTTCCATCAGGATCATCTCCAGCATCTGGCTTCTTATCTATCTCACTTCTCACTTTATGAAGCAGAGCATAATCCAATCCTTTAACCAAATGTGTGTGCTCCACATCACCTGATTGCATAATCCATAATAAGAAAGGTCAATTTATGCAGTTGTGATCCATTTCTTTGTGCCACCATATACACATAAGATGCTAATAAACTATTTGAATGTTTACATTAGCATTGATAGATCGCTATTTTTCATCTTACTGCTGTTTTTCTTCTTTGTGTTAATTATATTGCTTCTATTATTTCTGTAGGAGAATCATACACTTCTACAGCGTGGGCATGTAGCCAGTGTATATCACAGTAGCATTTTAATGCCATCTCTATGAAAAACTGGAAAACCAGATAACTTCTTTTCCACCCGAATTGAAAATGTAGCATTAGCTATACCTCCGAGATACTTGCTCTTCTCAATAGATAACTTGTGAGCATCAGCAGAACTGCATACACGGTAAAATCAAAGCTCATCATCAAACATCATATTGAATATGATATTACAACAATGTTCAAGTATATAGAAGGATATAAAAGTGAAAATGGAGATTTATCAATGAACTGGAAGTATAATTTCTCATGATGGGAGTCTCACCCCATATCCACATTGCCGGGGGGAGCAACGGCATGAAACGCACCCAGCTCATTGAGCTCGTAATCTGGATTTTGATCCTCTCTCCTTTCTTTGGCTCTGTCTCTGTACTTGGGTAGTTCTGGTTCTTCCGCTTTCTCCTCTCTGAACAGTTGATTCATTCATTAAAGACAGACAACTTGTTACCATAAATCCCTAATTGTTACAATACTTAAGCTTCCACATAGCAACAAAAAATCATCCCAAAATCTTCAATCAGACAGCCTAAACCTAATCGAGAGCGAGAGAACATAAATCAACAGGATGGAAAAGATGCCGGAAACGTACTTGTTACGACGAACTGTCTTCTCCTTGTGGTTTCGCTTCGAAGTGGTCATCGTCGTAACAATCTCAAAGAATCACCACCGATAATGTTTCTCTCAAGTTTCCAATTTTTCAGAGGGAAAATTAGGGCTCCGAACAAATCAATCCGGAATGCAGAAGTTTTGACCCGGGAAGAGCTGAACCCCTTTTCTCCAGAGTAGAAAGAGTACTGCCGATAAAAGTGTAAAAATATTTTTGAGTTTTTTTTAAGGATATTTTTTTGGGTTTGATTTGGTATAAATTGTTGAAGTCTATCCGTCCTAAAACGTTCTTCCCAATTACTATTCAGACGGTTAAATTTTAATCATTTTCTTTACCTATTTTCGTTAGTTATTTTGATAAAATAATGTATAGTTTTGTCACATCTTGTTTTGTAGATCTTTTGTTGTAATTTTTAAATATATACATTTTATTTTTGAATTTTACACCTACAATCAAATAAATTGAATTAAATTTAACATTACTCATCTTGTATTAGTATTATATTTTTAAGGGCAAATTCTGTTGACACTAGCATCTAATATTATATTACACGCGTTCATTTGGAGCTACTCCGATGTTCCAAATAAAGAATTGATAGTTTATATCTCTTAACGTCCTTCCTAAACCCCCGGCTACAGCACTCCGCCCTAGCCCAACCCCTGCGTCCACCCTAAACCCCTCTCCAAATGCATAATAGTCACACATTTGAAGGGGTAAGAAGGAGGTCTAGGGTGGGGGCGCATGGGTCGAGCAGAGGCGAGGTGCGGTGGGGGTTTAGGAAGGGGTTAGGAGGTAAAAATTATCAATTTTACAAACAAAACATCGAAGGAGCTTCAAATGAGCGAGTGTCATCCGTTAACACTAAATGTTCATGTCAACAAAACCTTGCCGATTTTTTAAATAAGTTTATGGTATACTTGGGAACATGGATTTGGATTTCAAATCCAAATTTCACTCAAACATCATGTTTGTCAAACTTTAAAATTTTGAATTTGAATCAAATTCCACTTATTCATGACAAGATTTAATTTGAAATCCGTACACCTCCTCGTGTCATTTGAAATTCAAGATTAGTATTGAAATGCATGATTGAAATGAAATGTTAGTTCTCAAACACTACTTTAATATAATTGGTTGAAGATGGTCTTTGAATATTCTTTTTGAAGTGGGATAATTGGATGCCATTGTCCCATTTTGTTTGACATTCGTTTTTAACATACGACATCGATATTATTAAATGTCTCTAATGGCCCTCAACTGAAATATCTTGATCGCATTAGAGTTGTGCCTTGATCTAAATTCTAAAGTTAGTTTTACAATTTGAAAATTTTGCACATTCAAAAACCGATGACTCAGAAGGTATTATAACATCTACTGGCAAAATGTTCTTATATTAAAAGCATAAAGAATAACATTAGACATGTTTACACAGTTTGACAAAATCTCTAATCTATGATTTTCAGTTCAGACCTTATACAATCAAATAAGAAATTTTGTTTTCCAAAAAATTAGCCAACAATTTGAAACCCCCCCCCCCACCCCACCCACCCAATTTTGGTTGAAATTTTGATTTAAATTTTAATCTCAAAATATTATGGAGGTTTACGAAATGAGTTAAGAGGTAGAAATCAATTTTTGTTCTACTAATTTTACTATAATATAGGATTTGTTGTTCCTTTAAAACAAAGAGTTAATGCCTCTGTTGGCTTTGAACATGTGATCTCTCATTAGAGAGAATTAAAGTTATGCACTTATGCCATTTGACCTTGCCACAAGGTCTTGAGTCTTGAAGACTCTTGACACTTCAAACATACTTCAATACAAAGTAATCATTTTTTATTTGCCAAATTATTATTATTATTACTAGTATCACACCCGTGCGTTGCACGGGTCATTTTTATGTTATTAAATTCAAATCATTTTTCAATGATAAAAAATGAGATGCAATAAAATATAGAGATTATATTATTTTAAGATACAAAATATCACTGCTTTACAAATTTCGAAAGACTTCTTTATAGACTACATTATTTGAACAATTTATGGGAATAATGTCTTCATTGCATATTAGAATCTTCAACCCAGTACGATTAGTTACTTTTGAAACTGCAATATAGAATTGTCCGTGACTAAAACATGTTGGATTATTGTTACGGAAATATGTGATGACCACTCATCAACATTTTTCAAAGCAGTTAAGATACCCATTTTTCGTAGGAATGACAATTTTGAAACGTAGGGGAAAAAAATTCACGATGATTGTAATGACTATGAAAGCTTGGTAAATGGATGTATTTATAACATGATTTTTGCATACGGGGTTTAAAAAATATTATTTTTCAAAGTGCTATAATGAATTTAAATTATTATTACTATATTTAAACTATTTAAATTATTATATTTAAAATTACTATAATAAAAATCACTATAAATAAAATGACGCAGTAATTAATATGGAGTATACAATTATCTAGTCACACGGTTATATAATTAATACCTTAGTTAATTATTACCTTTTTTGATTAAAATTACTATAGTTAAAATATCGTAAAATATAGCGATTATAAAATATAGCCACAATAATTAAAATATAGCCATTATAAAATTACTATAATTAATTTGACACAATAACTAATATACAATTATTTAGTCACATGGTTACATAATTAATACCATGGTTAATTATTACCTTTTTTTATTACCTTTCTTGCTAGTATAATTTCGAACACTTTAAAAATGAAAGTTAATTATTTCCTTTCTTAGTTATTACCTTTCTAGCTATTAAACGTAAATATATATATATTTAAGGGATATTTAATTCTTACAATAGTTATAGTCCATTTTATATTACTAGAATTTCAGGCACTTTAATTTCTTTCCATCTTTAATTAATACACTCTATACGAATTGATAAATATCGTGTGATAAAAAAAGGAACTATATTTATAGTTTTTAAACCATTTTTTTAGATTAATAATAATAATAATTTTTTAGATTAATAATATAACGTTTTTAAAGGCATTGTGTGTTAAAAGTAATATAAATTTCACTTCACAATAATTAACTTACCTTTCCGCCATTTTAACCTAATTATTACGGTTAATACCGTGTAATATTAATTGTCATTTGTTAATGGAATAAAAATTACCATTTGTTAATACCGTGTAATATTAATTTCCATTTATAATATTATGGTTAATACCGTGTAATGTTAATTACCATTTGTTAATACCGTGTAACATTAATTACCATTTGTATTAGTATGGTTAATACCATAATAATGTGATAAAAATTACCATTTTGATAGAACCGTGTAACATTTGTATGTAACATTAATTGCCATTTAATGATGGAATAAAAATTACCATTTTGATAGAACCGTGTAATATTAATAACCATGTTTGTTAATGGAATAAAAATTATCATTTTGTCATTACCATTTTAAGTGAACAGTTACCATTTTTAATGCAATAACGCATGGGCGGAAAAACCATCTCTTGAATCCATGTCTTTTTAAATAAAGTATGGATTATTATTATTATTATTATTATTATTTTTATTTTTATTTTTATTTTTATTATTATTCTATTTACTACTCTCTATTCTCAATTAACATTTTTATCTTTTATTCCGTACTATTTGAGGATAACTAAACCTTTCGCTTATAAATAAGCATTTAGGCAGTTTCAGTTTGCAAACACTCAAATGATTTAAACAAAAAAATTATACTCAAAATACAAACACTACACATTTTTAATTTTACTTAAAGTAATCACTTATTTATCCACAAAAGAAAGAACAAATGTACTCCGGTATATAACTGTGGGTACTACATTTTCTGTGCTTTTGCTTTAGAGTTGGTGGTCTCTTGAAAACAACCTCTCTGCTTCTGATTATGTGCCATGTTTGCCGTCTCCAAGACCCTACTTTTTGTGGGATCTTAGAGGGATCTTAGTGGTCTTTTTTGTTGTTGAACTAGTGCTTGTTCTTGTAAAAACCTCAAGCGATAACCAATCCTTCTAAAAATCAATTGGTGTTACAAGAGACGCATACCCTAGCCTTGTTGTGCATTCAACACACACAAGCGCCCAAGACATTCGAGTGTGACTTGGCAACATAACCTCCGCCACGAGACAATTGATGCACACAATCACCAACAGTTCTCAGTACTGTTACATGAAACGAGCTAGGCTCTTTGTTAAGGCTAGCTCGCGCTTAGATCGTTTAGGATAGCAAATGAGCCAAACTCGATATAGTACTCGACTTGCTTGAGTCAAATCCAAGTCACAAAACTCTCATTTTGCCATACATTATTATGACCACCAAAAGCTTGATTTGGTAGCAGCCTTAATCACCAGTAATCACAACAAGAGCATTTCCCATTCCTGAAGTGGTGAAATCGATTGGCATCTCTCACAATAATCTCTCTTTGTACTATCTGTGATATGAGTTTTGTTACCATATGGCAGTCATTACAGACCCGGAGATTTTTGGTTATGCGAATCACACTTCCGGGCGCGGTGCTCAAAAGCCCAAATGCAATTGCTGATCTCTCACTATGACCCCACAGTAATTTCACTTTCATCTTTTCGTCAACATCACGCAGAACACTGCTAGTATCAGGCACATACCCAGAAGCCTCTATCTCTGATCTTAAAGCTTCTAAGAACCGATGAATTTCTTCCCAGTTCAAATGTGAATCATCCCCTGCAAAAAACGTATGGACCTGGTTTTGTATTTCAATCGAACTATATCCTGGAATTTTCTTTAATCTGTGAGCCCTCATGATGCTTTGAATATAATCTACCACATCCCATCTCTTGATTTGGGCATATATATTTGATAGCAGAACGTATATACCAGGATTTGTGGAGTCTAGGTGAAGCAATTTATCAGCAGTTCTCAATCCTATGTCCATGTTTTTATGGTAACGACACCCATTGAGTAAGGCTTCAAGAACAGCAGTGCCGGGCTCAGATGGCATTTTTTTAATACATTCTTCTGCATCTTCAAGACGCCCTGCCCTACTAAGTAGATCAACAAAACAAGCATAATGCTTCTCAGATGGCTTCATTTTATGCTCTGTTTTCATCTTCTCAAATAAATAGATACCCTCTTCCACAAGCCCAGAGTGACTGCATGCTGCCAGAAGAGCAACAAATGTGGTTTGATTTGGAGAGACCCTCTGATACACCATTCGGTCATATATGTTTATAGCTTGGATCCCAAAACCATGAATGCCATAGCTTGTTATCATAGCATTGAACAAAACAACATCTCCAGAATCGGAAACAATATTGAAAACCCTCTCAGATAAGCTTATTTTGCCGCACTTGGCATACATATCAATTAAAGCTGTCATGTTAACAATGTCAAGAGCATATCCTAAACGAACTAGATTAGCATGAACACTTTTCCCTTTCTTCATGGACCCCAAATGAGCACAACAATAGACTAGACCAACCAGAGTCACGGAATTGGCAGCAACATTCTCTTCCTGCATTTGGTGGAATAACTTCAATGCATCCTCTGCTTTTCCATTTTGAGCTAGTCCTACGAGCAAAGCAGTCCATGTAATAACATTTTTGTCTTTCATTGTGGAAAACAGATAATTGGCCTTCGTGAGTTCTCCACATTTTCCATATAAATCCAGAAGAGCCGTAGATAGAATGTTACTTGATTCTAGGCACCGCCGTAAGATATAAGCATGGAGTATCTTTCCACTTGCCATATCAGCCACTCGTGAACAACCATGAAGGAGGCTAACAAGAGTTGCAGAATCAAAACCAATCCCATTGCAAACTAATTCATGAAAATATTCAAGTGATTTCGGAACCAAGTCATTCCGAACACATCCTGAGATTATTGCATTCCACGACACCAGAGTCCTAGTAGGCATTCTATCAAAAACAAGAGAAGCAGTTTCAAGGTCACCCATCATACTATACATATTGATCAAGGAAGTTAGCACTTTGACATCATTTCCCATTCCCAACTGAACTGTAAGTCCATGACAGCATTGTCCCACTTTTATACATCCCATCGCCCTGCATACCTGAATCAAGTTCACCATAGTTACAGTACTGAGTTTAATATTACATTTACGCATACCAAAAAACAGTTGAAAAGCCTTGCCAAATTGATTGGTTTTCACATAGCCTCCCATGATTGAATTCCAACATGCAATGTCCTTATTCTCCATCTCATTAAATAATTCCCAGGCATCATCAATGTGGTCAAATTTCACCAAGAAACTTAACATTGAACTCCCAAAGAATCGATCATTATGCATCCCACAATCCACACCCCTTCTAACAACTTCCATCCCAACATCATAATACTCTGGTGAGGCACTGCACGCCTTGAGCACGAACGTGCAAGTGCAACTATCAGGTCTCGATTCTAGCACACCCATCATCTGAAACAGCTCGACCACCTCAGAGTGTTGTCCCCTTTTAAGAAACTCATTCATCATAGCATTGCAGAGAAATACTTCTGGCTTGGTAAATTGATCAAACACATCGCGGGCAGTTTCGAGAGAGCCCAAATCACCATACGCCTTCACAAGCTTGGTGGCCAGAACCTGATCAGCAGATAGAGAGTTCACAACAATCTGAGCATGAATTGATGTGACCCATAATATGTTTGTGGGAAATTGCTGTAAAAGCGTCAAAAACCTGCTGTTATTGATGATTTCAGGCGGTCTGAGGTCCATAGAGTTAAGTAATGCGGAGGAGTGGGTTGAGGATGAAGAAATGAAGAGAGGTAAAAGAGGCTTTTTGAGAATGGTAGGAATCTTGACAAGTTGGGAAAACAATTTCATTTGAACGGCCGTGCTTAATACTTACTGGGTTAATCTGACTATACATTTCTAAAATCTTGCGTTTATCTTCATCATCGTCCCCGTGGCTTCTTCTAGGGTTCGTTTTGCCTCAATTCTTGCCCCTGTTCAACGGCCGCGACTGCTGCTCCGGCACGGTTCTTGCGTTTCTATGCTCTCCTTCTCCGCCTGCAGCTGAGCACTCCATAGCGCAGTTATCTAACCCCCAGTTACTCGCCTGCTCTGGACTCGTCATTGATCCCCGGAGTCACGGCGTTGCTTATCGACGTGCAGCGGAGATTTGTTGGTGGGCAATCTTATTTTCAATTTCAAGATAGGGAGGGACTACTTATATGCAATTTAAATAATCGATTCAATATCATTTTAAAAAAGTAAGATGGTTAATTAGTAATGAAACATTATCATTGGAATATTTGTCCAGTTTTATTTTTTTCTATTAATCATTTTCAATATTTGAACTATAGTTAAATAAAATATATATTATATACTAACTAGATAAAATAATATTTTGAAAATATTTTATATAATAAATCTAATAAAATTATTTTATATCAATATCTAACATAATTTTTTTAATTTAAAGTCAAAGCTTATTAATTTTTATTGAAAAAAGTCAAAAGTAGATAAATATTCTAGGACGAAGGAGTATTAATATTTTTAACAGAAATATACAGTACTACAGAGTACAATATAAATTTGACATTTTATTAAAAAAAGAGAATTAAAATGAATAAATAAGCAAAATATGCCTTAAAATTATTACCACATTATTGATGAAACCTATTACATTGAGACACCGCCCTATTAAATGAGTTATTCTTTTATGGTTCTTAAATCCAAATTTGAAATATTGATATTCTCATATTTTTTATGGGCTCACATGTGACAAGTGATTTTTTTGTAAAAGGCTTAGTTCTTTTATACTCGTAATATCAATGCATTCAAATTTAGAGAATAAAAAGAACATAAACTTTAAAACTATGTAAGAATTTTGTATCTGGCTCTTGAAGTAAGCTCAATTTTGCGTCAAACTCCACTCTTAGTTAAATTCAATAAATAAATGAATATATTTCTAAACATTGGCCACCCAAAAAATGAAAATATTTATAAATATTGTGGGGAAAAGTTTACTTGAAAACAAAAATAAGAAAAAAATGCAAGATATTTTATGGTACCACGCTATGATTTTTTGTTACTCCCTCCGTTCCAAATTATAATGCATGTTTACTATTCATAGGGTCAAACTTCATTCACTTTTTTTCTCTATTTTCGTTAGCAAATTGATAAAATAAAATATTGTTGTCACTACTAGTTTTGTAGACCTTTTGATGTAGTATTTTGATATGTAATTTTTATTTTTTAATTCTATATCATTTGTCATATAAAATGATTTGAAATAACTTCAGGGTATCTAGGAGTATATTTTCAAAATTGAGGGTACCCGGCAGTTCTTACCACAAAATAGGGGGTACCTGACAGCAATTTTTTGATTTTTTTATGTATCATGAAAGTCAAAATGATTGTGAATAAGCAAATAATTGAAAAATCTCCACCAAACAAAATTCTTCTCAGTCGCACATTCCAGATCTTCACTATTAGACACCAACACATATATGTAGAATACTAACCAATTCTAATTTTAAGTAATGTCTATAAGTGTCGCTGAGAAAAACACTATCAATTTTTGCAGCATAAAATGCCATTTTTCCCCGTCCCTTCTTCAAGGCATACAATGAAGCCATTTCAATCGGAGGCACACGCCAACGGGCACACATGTTTGGCGACATGACCGCAATTAATCCATTGGTGAAATAATAGCTAGGCAACAATGGACTTTTTGTGTAGTAGTGCAATTGAAGAAAGCATATCCAGAACGCGGTAAATAATGTTTTCTCATAGATAGGATGAATGAACAGTGTTACCATGCAGTAAAAGTTTACGGTGAATATATTTTAGGACGATCGGTGTATAATCTAGATGTGCATTAAGGTAAATTTTCATAGGTTAGGGAATCACTAACCTTGCATAGTGAAATGCATGCTCACTCTCTCAACAAAGAAGATGCACCATAGTGCACTATATGATCTGTGTGCAGTGTGCACTCATTGGCATCTACTCCTTTCATCCAGATTAGTTTGTCTACTGTTCTCATTTATAAGAAATGTGTTTAAAATGTCAAAAAAGTCCTTCAAATAAGTTTGTCACGCATTCATTTCAACGATGCTCATACCAAATCTCTAGGATATTTTCGACAAATCACCATAATTACTCCACGGTTGTTGCTAAACCCACCCCTCATTTGGCTATACCCACCCCTTTAATGTGAAATGGACAAGTTTTGCCCTTGATGTTTAGAAAAGGGAAACAAAAGTGGGAAAGGTAAAGTTGTCAATTTCTTATAAATGGACTGGATTTAGCACCACCCTACCCTTACTCCATTGAATACAGATAGTAGAAAACTAATTTTGGACAAACGAGAACAAGTTGACAACTAAATCTGGACGAAGGGAGCACATATAAAAAGCCCTTTTTGGTAGCATGAATCAGCTTACTCTGCTTATCACATGCCATAGCAGAATAATAGCATTTGACTTGCTTATTTGGCTGAAATTGATTTTTACAAACGCTTAAAATTTCAGAAAATTGAGTAGATTCGAGCGTTCAGCCAAATACCTTTTTACCAAACGGACCTTAATTCGATACTCGCATGCTTAATCCTTCATGGGTCTAGACATTTTCTTCGTATCTCTTGGATAGACCAGTACAGCCAACAACAAAGCAATGGCAAGACCAGTGGCGCCACTAAAAGGTTGAAAAGAGGATGGTCCGGTAAGCCATGGTGGAGACTTGGATCCAGGAACCAGAAAGCCTTCCATCCTCAAGAAATTATTTGAAGCCAATATCCCTGCACGTACGCCAATGGGAAGGGACAGGCTACCCTTCTTTCTTTTCCTAAGCCCAGAAAGAGCTAGTGATAACATCCATAGGCCAGGCACTGCCCATGCTGACCTGGATTTTCATTAATGAAAAGGTTAAGGCCATGACTAAAGCCTTGAATAATTACTCTCACACCAACTACTATGTACCAAGTATTCAAGTCAACTCCATCAAACTTAAAGTGTGACTTTACACCTACTTCAATAAAATGGAATGTCCTAGAATGAATGAGATGAGATGTTCTACTCCAAAACCATCAAATGTATTTAAGTGATCATATTGGCGAATTATTAAAACACAGGTGGCAACGATAACAATTGGAATACCTTAAGGTAGTGTTTGGCAACTAGCATTTCATTTCAATTCATGCATTTCAATTCCAAAATTAGAAATCCTGAATTTCAAATGACAAGGAGAGGTGCATGGATTTCAAATTAAGCCTAGTTTTGAGTGTAAAGAATTTGATTCAAATCCAAATCCAAAATGCTTAAGTTTCCCAAACATGGAATTTGAGCTAAATCCGGATTTGAAATCCAAATCCATGTTCCCAAACATACCATAATAGAATAGAAGATCTCATCCCCTGACAAAAGCTCTAAAAAGATATGTTACGTGAGAGTCACACTAAACTTATGAACAGAAACTAAATTTAGTACAGCTTTACATGCATAGAGTCAAATAAATTCGTCAGATACTCGAACAAAATTTGTGCTTCAGACAACGGTAGAAATATACCTTTGGAATACTGAAAATGCAAGTCCCGAAATGATTATTCCTTGATTGTGTCCAAGGTCAGAAGCAATTTCATCAGGCAACCATGATCTGAAAATCAACTCCTCGATCATTGCAACCCCAGTTGCGGTTGTAAGTCCTTGAAAAGCTAGTAAAACCATCTGACGGAATATTTTTAATGATGCTAGGGCAGCAGAAGATGATGGAGGGAAAGTGATTGGCATATGGAAATGGACACTTCCGACTAGGGAGTTTACCGAATAATATAGTAAAACAAGAATGACTCCTCCGACCAACCCCTTTATAAAATCCTGAGCCTGCAAGCAAGGAGGTTGACATCACGGTGAGGCAAGTAATATTGTTTTCATGCTCTTAGAGTTTCTCTTTTTGGCACTACCAGGAATAGACAGGTAACAACAATATTTTATGTCTCAGATCAACCAAAAGAAAAAGCTTGGTAAAAATTTAATCTCCCAAAGCAGAGCAATGAACATCAACAAAGATTGAAATGCCTAATAGAGAGATTCTGCACCTGTGACAATGAAGTCAGATCCAGTCCATATCGTTCAAGTGGATTTCGGTACCCACGAATTCTTTTCCCCCATATTGTAACTAGTAGCATAACAGAGATATAGAGTCCAACAATGCAAACCAGTTCTGCAGTTTTGGATGGGCTATGAGTAGTCCAGCAACACACAAGTGTTGGTAGCAAAGGTACAGCAACAGGTGACCATAAAACAAGAACCATACACATAAATGCAAAAATCCTGAAGCCAGATCAAAGATAGAAGTTTCAGAGTTCTGTGAAATAAGGGCAGTTTTCTTTTGCCAAATTTAGAGTGTCAGGGGGTGGTGACAGAATCTTTTAGTAACTTTTATACTTTCCAATAGCTCGAGGTGGAAATATTTTGGCAAGAAAGAAACATTTGTTCTTTTGATAGGTTATAAACAAGTTTACATGTAATAAATCCTACATGAGATCCACAGAAGTAATTTACCTTTGGAACAAAGGACGTTCAGCAATGTGCAGAAATGAAAGGAGTTTGTCGGTTAGACTCATGGCACCACGTAATCCACCCCAAAGCAATGCAAATTTTCCGATAAACCTAAAAAGTCCACCCCTCTGTCCTAACTCTGCAAGCATTGCCACCAGCCTATGCATTAAAGTAATAGCAATAAGCTTTTACTTAAGAAAAAGATTTAAAATGAAAAGCAAAAGGATTATCAGCATGAGCATGTAAAACCTCTCTTGGTCTACTTCCCCATCTTTTGTGGGTACCACAGGACTAGCAATAGACATTGCTTTCTCGGCAAGACTTGTAACTATGTTATCCTGGGGTTTATCCACATCATCAAGTGTGGGAATATCCTTGTTTGGATCTTCTTTTTCATTGCAATGGGAAGAAATTCCAATCTCGTCGCCCTTTAAGCACATAGGTACTAGATATTAAGAATGCATTTACAGGGAAAGAAACAGCAAATACATACTAGGAAAATGATCAGAGCAAGAATCTTTGAATTCCTAAACATCATGCCTTGAAACTGCTATTTATCATGTTACATCATTACAGCAAATGCATATTAGGAAATAGTCAGACCGAGATTCTTTTATTGCCTACTTAAACAAGTAAAACCAGATACTTAACAGTCATCGTGTCTGTCCAATTATCCGTCACAGTTATGCCTCTAAGCTGGCAATTGGAAAAGTTAAATTGTTTACATTAAAAATTCCCCACCCCAACAACCTTCCCCGTTTCAGGAAACTATTACCTCCAACTAATCTAAACATAAGGCATCACAGAGATGCAAGTATGCAACTGCTATCTAAAGAAACAAAAAAAAATCAAAACGAAAAACATATTAAATACACTAGATAAATAAAAAAATAAAGAAATAAGAAAAGAAGAAAAAGACAGAAAAAAAGGAAAGACAAAGATGGATTGGCGAGCTGTGGCGGTGAGAGACTGCTTTTCTCAATATGTTTTTTCTCTCTACGTTTGCTGATCAGGTCATGAGGCTTTTTAAATTTGAAAATGGGTGGCTCGGTTGTTGGAGTTGAAATTGATTTGGCAAAAAAAATTTATTCCCAACGTCTCCGTGAATGCCCAATCAACGCCTAAGTGATGCCCGTTCAGTGCCCATCGCTCTTCGGAACTTTGCGTGACGGGATCTGCCCAGGCAAGTGTTCTCCACCAATTGGGGGCCTAAGCAACACCTAGTTGTCACCTATGATGTTGTGGCAACTATAGAGATCAGTGACAATTAACTTTTACCTGATGACGGACAATTAATGCAGATGCTCCTAAAGCTGCAGTAACAGCTCCAACCATGATAGATTTGCTTGAATTTCCAGAATCATCTCTACAATCAGTTTTGGATTGGCTCAAAGCTTCCGAATAGACTCTTGTATCAGCTTTGAGACCAGAGCTCTCAAGCTCATATTTCTGATTAGTATTCAAATGAGGCACAATATCAGATCCTTTTTCATCGTTTGTACGTTGATTTATTTGATCAGGGATCATTTCATTGTCTTTTCCATAATATTTAACAGCAGATACTTCAAAGGATTTTCTTAAGGCAGCCAGACTTGAGCCAACAATAAGCCCAACTGGCAATACTCTTTGCAAATAGGTGGTATTCTGAGCAGCAGAAGAGATGGCTCGTACTATATGCTCCCCATGAAGGGAACCAACTGTCTCTAAATCACAGTCCCAGAATTGCATATTCGATGCAAGTATGTCCTCCAACCCTACACCTCTAGAGACCACATTTGCAATGTTCTCCACATCTCTAGCAAGTTCAGTCTCCATTTCCTCCATGTCAGCAGAACTCAGCCTTCGGCCTACTTCAATTCTTAATGTGTCCACTATAATATTTCTGATAATGTCAGACGACTTTTCCGTTTCTGCATTACCAGTTTCAACATTTCCATTCGATTTTTCAATTTTGTCATGCCGCTTCACAGAATCTAAAATTACATAAGATGGTTCGATGTCTATATCCTTTGGTTTTGGTTGTGAATGCCCACCTTCATGAGAAGTGACATCTTTGTCAGAATTAGCATCATTTTCGGCATGCTCCAAGATTTTCTGTCGACTATCCTTTGACTTGGATATTTGGTTCTTTTCTTTGTGAAGAGAATGACCTTGTAAATCTTTTATAGAATAGATTGGAACATTTTGAGAGATGGCATTTAAGTACTTGGCTGAATCCTCCACACAGAGTTTTGCATTCAAAACGTTCTCCCTCTTTCCCCCATTCTTTTCTGCAGAGAGCTTAGTTTCTGTACCACTTTCATCTTGAATCATATGCCTCTCTTTAGTTGTGTTTACATAGTGTGATTGGTTATTTGAAGGAATAGCATCAGAAGGTGGCATGCCTGGATACCTATATTTCTCCTCAACATCTTCAGACTCACGATTATTGTCTAAATTTCTCATTTTATTTTCATCGTGTTTCCCCTCCTCTAACCGAGTAATCATATCCTCCAGAACATGAAACACACTATTAACTGCCATCTGGGTCGAATCATCTATTTCAGTCAAGGCATCTAATGCTTGAGAAGCACTAGGGACTGGTGAATCTGATATACTTTCGTTTGATTTGGTTTGCATGCATTTTTCTTCTCTCTTTATGTTGTCAACGTCCATTTTTTCCATCACTTGGTCCTGTGGCAGAGATGCAGAAGATGTTGCTTTTTCCTTTGTGTTTGGCTTAGCACTATTTTCACAACTAGAAGAATCAATAACATTTTCTTCATTTGCCTGACTAGAACTCTCTTCATTCAAGACCATCTCATTTTTTCCATCGTCTTGTTGTATTTCGTATTTCTCTGAGTCCATATTCTTCTCAATGGCAGCCTCCCTTTCAGGCAAGCTTGAACCCTTTTGTGGAACTGCTGTTTTTGATTCATTTCCCTTGTTACCAGAAGCCAAACCAGTTTTGACAGAAAGATCCGTATTCTCATTGTTATGTACCAAATCAATCATGTCTTTTCCCATATCAGAACAACTATTAACTGATTGAGGCTCATAGGTATAATCTGATTTTTGCAAATTTTCTGAAGCTCTTCCTTCTGCTTCTAGTTCTGAAGAGTGATTGTCTGCACTAGATACATGCTTATTAGAGCCATTTGGCAAATATCCCACCTTCACCTCATCTGAAGAATGAGAGTACTCATTTTCAGTTTCTGGACTTGAGTCTCCTCCAACCCTCTCCTGGATTGATGATTTTGCCCAAGATGCTACATAAGGAATGGGTTTGAGAGCGAGGAGTCGATCCAATTTCAGGTTAGAACCTTGATTATGAACAATTTCAGATACAGCACTGGCAAGCTTTCCACGGACATTTTCAGGTACTGCACCTTGCAGAGCATTCATCAACGTTTCCCCTTGACAAACAGCAGTCAGGACCTGGATTAAAAATGTTTGTTCAGTATAATGACTATAACCAATTGGTTAATAACCATTATCGTATAACATGCATGACTAAACTTGAAGACACTTTCGAAGTTTCAGTGCACACTTTCGGAGTTTCAGTGAACTTTCTAGCTCAATCTCAGGCTCTCAGCACGTGAGATGGGGAAAAAGAAGCACGCTTAGAGAAGGAAACACTGGTATAAAGTACCACAAGGCTACAATTGGTTGAAGAGTTTTACCTTATTCTTCTGTTCTTCTGTAAATGTGTCAGGCATAGTCATATCAAGCATGTTCATAATCACCCGTGCAGCTTGTAGCACTTGGCCTCTATCATCCTGACTTATGGCTTGCTCTTCACCTGAGTTGGCCTCACCGCAACAACCACACATTAATGTGTCATTGTCCTCGTGCAACAAGAAGCCTGTATTTTGGTCTGCTGCAGTATTTCCTTCCTCAACTGTTTTTTTGAAAGGATCTAGATCAGGCCCATTTAAGGAATCTGAATCTGGAAGACTTAAAAGCTTTTTCACTCCAACATTTCCATCAGATGATCTGATCAACATGGCTGGAACACTTGATGGGTTTATAGTAACATCAACATCTTGTAATAGAGGATGGCGCCCCTTTAAAAGAGCAAGCTCCACAGCTGCAATCCACTGCGACACGACATTTGTTGTTAGTTACATGATTTTTTTTGTGTCTGATTATATTTATATGCAGTTGTGTACAAGCAATATGAATCTTTTACCTCCATCGCAAGATTCTGACACCAAGATATAGTTGATCTACCTCTCACGGATTCTGTAAATGGAAACTCATTGCACAGAAGCTGGCTTGTAAATGGATTTTGAGCTATGGAACTTTGTGGAACAGAGAATAATGGAACAGACCTATCATTATTCTGGAAAATTGCACACAATGTTATACTGCATATATCATTTGGGTGAAACTATCATTGTTCCGGAAAATCACCCACACACACACACACACACAATGTTTACTGCACATATTGATTTGGTGAAACAACATGAATATCATCAAACAATAGTGATGATGAGGGAGCAAGCCATTTTCTAAAATTCACTATGGATCCAATATACTATACCAAGTAAAAGCAGAAATATGGATTTTATTAACACCATCAACAAAAAAGGTTTAGCAAGGAAAAGTGAGAACTTAGAAAAATAATAAAAAAGAAAGAATTGGGTGCGAGGAACAATGCAGCACTCCCTGCCCTTCCCTATAATATTTGACTCCAACAAGAAACAAATGAACACTTATTTCTAATATGCATTCTTTTAAAGGTTCACCAACATCTACTCTTCACAGATTAACAAAAATAAATGTATATAATTAGTGTCCAACCAATTGGTTAAGTCCCTTTCACAACCAATTGGTTATGTCAAAAATACGGTTCAGCCAATCAAAGATTCACAATGATAAGGTCTCCAAAAGAAAGTTGTACCTGAATGAAGAGAAGAGGAATCTTAACTCTCCCAATAACATCTCTTGTACTAGATTTCACATAAAAATCCTCTAAGGAATTGAAACCGTACGATACCATAGATATTTCTCTCTCGAAATCGCGAATAGATGTTGATAGAAGAGCCTTTTCAACATTAAAACCTTTTGTGCGCCCTTGAAATAGTTCCTAAAGCAGAAGATAAAAGTTAGCCAATATAGAAAGCAGCAGCCAACAAGCCATACCAGTTTTCCTTTTCAGATTTTAGCAAACTAATTCGTGGTGGTGTGACTACTTCTGGAACCTGTCAGATATTCTGTGCTCAAATGCGACAAAACCTGTATCATGTATGTTGAACTTGGATTTTATTTATAGATGGGTAGGTATATTAAATATTAGAAAGATACAAAACCTGTTGAGTAGAATAAGCACCTTGTTAGATTGCAGAATATGGACCAGTCCAGGAGTTAGCTTCTGGTCTAAGTAGGGAGATGCTCTAGTAGCCACTTCTAGGTCAAAAGGGTTGTCAATACAAGTAGCAGCCATGAGTGGTGTTTCTTCTCCAGCTTCAGCCAGGTACTTTGTCAACATGTTTGCGCTGTAACCCCAGCCAATCCCCATAAACATTGACCATGGCCTAATTTTTTTAATAAATTCAATGGTTGTGGAGATATCATCGCTGTCAGCAGCAGTAAATAGCCTACATCATATAAAAATTAACATTCCTCGCGATCATTTTATTGCAAAATATGTGCATGTGGTTAAGTGTTAGAAGTGCTTTCTCTATCTGATTTTAAGTAAATATTTCTTCGTGTCAAAAGCCAGGGGAAATCTTTGAGATGTGAATGCAACATGACCCATAGAGTTTGTGAAGCCAGGAAAAAACACACTCCACATCTGTGAGACACTTAGACCAATGCAACAAGCACTACAAAGTCTTAACCAAGCAAAATCAAAGAACACAGTACATGCCACTACGGAGTAAGGTATCCGCCCTCTCACGTCAAAGTATAAGCAAACCTAAGTTCTACCCCAGGAGGAGAGAGGTTCCTTCTAAGAGGACCCAACCAAAAGAGGAGAGAGGTTCCTTCTAAGAGGAGAGAGGTTCTACCCCATAGGATTAGTATTTTGAAAAAAACAAACAAAGATTCGGCTAACTGCTAACAACTAACCAACAAGAAAAAAAGGTCCAACCACCATAGGTTCCTACGTAGTATGTACACTTAAGCTCACATTGAGTCATCACATCAGCTCCTCATGATATTCATGAGCTTCTAAATGATTTGACGGTTAGGTCACCACTCGGTATCAGGTTCTAGTCACCTCAGGTTCACAGTAGTTCCAAGCTTATACATAGTCACTCAAAGTCTCAACCCGATACTTTGCACTTGATCCGACCAATGAGCGTATACCAACTGGTAGATTCATTATCCCCCGATCTCGCCTCCATGGTTACTTGAACTCAAGACCTCCCACAAGAGAGTGATTACCATTAGACCACTACAACTTGTGAATGAGCCCAAATACTTGAAAGTATTGATTTGCCAAACTCTTTGCTACCCAATAGTGTCTTCTAACTTCTCCAATTTGTGTTTTCTACTAAAGCTACACAAGAGGTACTCAATCTTATTCCCAAGTGCCGCTCTCCACGGCACAAATTTTGCATTCACCACTTATCTCGTCTCAGTATCCAGCGCCACAACAAAATCATATATTGTACTCAAAAAGGCTTACCAATAGAAAAGCTAAGGTTAATGTTAGAGTATAAATAACCTCTCCTAGGCCACAACCAAAAGCTTGAGCTTTTGGTTGAATTGGTTTCTTGACAGTTATCAATAGAAATGCCAGCCTCACTGGATAGAAAATCCTAGTCTCTAAAAGCACTAAAGCATAAAATCCAGACGATAAATGAATGAAACCGTAGCCAATAGAAATGCATATAATGTGTGTGATAACGCGATTGCTAAGTTAATAATCAAAACAGTAGGAATGTCGAGTAAACTGACCTTGCTGTTGTCAATGGGGAACCAGCACATCCCCTTGGATTCATGACAACCGGAAAAAACCCTCTCTTCAAACAGTCACAAACAAGCCCCCTAACATCTTCATCCATGCTTCCCTTGGCTGTCCCTGGAACAATCAAGCAGGTGGTGTCCAATCCACGCTCCTCCTCCAAGTCCAAATTCGCTGGCCAGTCCAACGACACCACTCCTCCATCCTCCATGCTTATACACAGCCTCTGGTAAACCAACTTCTCATCAAATTTCTCATCATCGCTCATCCAAACCTGAATCCTGCCACTAGTGACTCTCACAAAATGACTTCCCTCTTTCACCAGCCTCTCCTTTACAGTTTCCATCAACTGGCCCCCAACGAACGAAATTGAAGGACACCGCAGCATGACGAACCTGTTAAACGGCGTAGGAGCGGCGAACAGAGTCCACTCTCCGATTTCCAACACCGAGCCTTCACGCCGAGCTCCGTAACTCCTCGAATCGCCGCGCAACCGCGACAGGTAGGGAGCGGTTCCGGAGGCGAAGCCGAGGGCGGGAGCGATCAAATCGAGCGAATTCACGGAAGGGAATTGCACGATTAAATGTTGGAACAGAGACTCGAAGGGCGAATAGGAAGATAATAAGGTGCTCGGGACGGTGACTCGCCGGCGGCGCTTCCATCCGACGCGGTCTGGTACAGTCCGGTTTCTGCATTGCCGGAATGGAATTTCCGGTGAGAGATTCCGAGAAGGTGTTGATGGCAGGTGAGCGGTAAGCAAACTGAAGTTCATTTAAGGCACAAAATTTAAAATTACGGAAGCGAAGAGAGAGAGAGTACGGCAAAGAATGTTCTAAAATCAGGAAAGATGTGCGAGAAGGAACGAAAAATGGAGAGGTTGAGGATGACCGTGTGGTGGGGCCATCTGGCGTTAGACTTGCGGTTGGAAATTAACGGTCGGGACCTACTCCGTTTCCTGAAATTAACTTTTGGCAGCAAATTTTCGAAGTCATGTACTCCCTACGTCCCTAAATATTTGCCACACTTGTATTCCCGAGGCAAAATATAAATTTTTTCAATTCATTTTATTTACATATTGGTATAGAAATAAAAAATAAAATTTACATATCAAAAAAACTACATGAAAAGTTCTTTGAAATAAGATGTATCAAGAATATTTTATTTTATCAAATAACCAATGAAAACGTAGAAATAAACAAAAGTTCCCGCGACTGCTCAAAAAGCAAACGTTGCAAATAATTTGGGACGGAGGGAGTATGTTTATTTTAGGACTTTAGTATTTTGATATCATAAAAAAATTTTGTTTTTTATAAAAAATAAAAGATTTACTTGTCATCTCATAAACGTAACAAAATTTACATTTCACACATAAACTTACATTACAGAAAAACAATTCTAAATTGAGATTAAAATGTATAAGTGGCTTTGTGGTCCACTGCCACACTTCGCTCCCAAAATAGGAGGCCACGTATCCAAATCTCAAAAATTTTTATAAAGTTTGGATACGTGACTTTTGTATCTTATCAATGATTAATAAGATACAGAAAATATGATTGTCATCCCACCCAAAAGGTACCTTTTAAAATTTGACATGATTAATTTATCTTATCAATCATTTTTTCCTATTTTTTAGTCACTTTTACCCTTTGTTTCTTACTTTTTTCACATGACTCTTTCTGTAAGATTTAATATTCTTATTTGACTTTTTTCAAAATTTATAAACTTTAACCTCGACATGCAAAAAAATACATTGTGTTTCAATATCAATCATTCTTTTTTAAAATGTTGTTTTGAGATGTTCAAATTTTATAAAATATATTTTTATATATAAATATCGATATTAATAGTTAAAAAGTTAAATAGAAGACACCCCCCTAAGAGGCTGTTTGGCAGTGTGCTGCTTTTAATTATTTAGTTTCTGCTTTGAGTAGAAGTGATTTTACTCTGTTTGGTATGTCAGCTTCTGCTTTTCACCACTACTATTTTGTACATAGAACACCATTTTGGAGAAGCAAGTAGGAGGTGCTTCTGCTTTCAGCTTTTGTGGAAATCACTTTATCCATAAGTTAATCACTCCCAAACACCCTCTAAATTTGGATGGAGGGAGCATCTTTTATTCTTTTCCATCACTTTTACGCTTTCTTTCTAATTTTTCCTATCTACTTATAACTTTTCAATTTTTTCTAAATTTAACTTTAATCACATCAAACAGCAAGAACTTTTTAAAGGTGGAACAGAATGAGTAATATTTAAAAAATGCTTAATTAAAATTAAGAACACTTCATACAGAACATATATTGAGTTAAGATTTTCAGCCGGCGTCTTAAATAGCATTTATAATGTCAAATAATGTAAAGATAATGCTCCCTCGTCCTAAAAGTTCAATTGAAATCTTTCATATACCCTTACTAATTATTAATCTATCTATCATATCATATCTATTTATTATATATTTACCTATTACATCATCCTTTTGTAAAGTAAAGAAAAAACTAACAAATAGTACCAAAATTAAACATTTTTTATCTCAACTTTTCCCAACGTGAAAATATTTTATATGACGGAGGTAGTATAAAATATCATTATACAATGTAAAAATACAAATATTTTATAGTACTAACATGCATATTTAGGAGATAAAAATACTCAAGATACAATATCTTATTTTAGTACTATTAGATAATTGTTTCTCATTTATTTGGCCAAACTAATATGGAGTATTAGATATTAATACAAGAATAAGTTTTTCTTACAAAATATTTTTAATATATTTCTTTATGTAGTTAATATAACCGTTAATTTTTATTTAATTCTAAGTCAAGGTAGATATGAGTTGACGGTAAAAAAATAAAAATTGAACAAATCATATGGGATGGAGGATTATTTTCAAGACTTATACTCCCTCTATTTCAAAAGGAATTGTACTATTCACTATTAAAAATTATAAAATTTTTGTTTATTTTGTACGTTTTGATTGATTATTTTATAACATAAAATATCTAAACTATTGTGTTATAAAACTTTTGACATGATCTTTAATTTAAGTTTCATTTTTAATTTCCATATTAATTTTTAAATAAAATAGAGTAAATAAAGTAATAAAATTGAAATTTTACTTTGTCTTATGTAAAGTGTAAAATACTTTGGGAGTAAAGGACTTTGAGCTTTGATCGTTAATGAACTACTTAGATGCGTAGTGTCATTTAAAATGTAACGGGCCAATAGATTTGAGATTTTTGTACTCAACGGGCTTATGCATTTTTGGCCCATAGTATTTCAAAATCTAAACTTTTCAAAACACGTGGATATTACTGCTGGGCTATGGAATTGGTTCAGATTTTGGATCAAGGTTTTCAAATGGACCCATAATTAGGAGTACAATTGTGTGTACATCCACTTTGTATAAATATTGGTAACACACTTTAATTACCCATCCGTCTAAATATTATCTTTCCGTTTGCGCGTTACAATGTTTGACTGAAGTTATTTTCTAATTATTTGATATTAAAAATGATGTGGAATTAAAAAATAAAAATTACTTATTGAAAAACTACATTAAAAGATCTATAAAACTAAATGTGACATGACTATATTATTTACTTTTATCAAACAGACAATGAAAATAGACCAACAAAGTGAATAAAGTTTGACCTGCGAATAGTGAATGAAAAGATAAATTGTGGACGGAGGGAGTATTATGTGCACGTCCTTTTAAATGTTATATAACTAGATCATCTCAATTTAAAAGTAAAGCATGGTAAAATTGAAAAACAAAACGCGATATTATTGTGACTTAATAAATGGTAGATAGTGTTTCAGACAAAAAAAACTAAAGAATTTTAAAGTGAATAGTTTATAACCAAATTGTATTTGTTTGGCAGGTGCATGTATTTGGGCATTTTCAAAAGAAAGAGTTCCAACTATGATCCCATGAAAAACTTGAGGACGGAGGTTCATAATTCATATTTAGACCTTACGATCATAAGCACAACTTGATATTTTTTCAAAAAGCGTGTGTAGACTTTTTTTTTAATACTACTCACTCTATTTCAAGTGAATTTTTGTGTGTGTTACTTTGGCATGGGCAGGTATAGGTCATAAGGAGTATGTGATTTCTATTTTTGTATTGAAACTTAGATAAATGGCCTTGAATTAAAGCATGGGATACTCTATAATTTGTAAAATGTGGTAAAACATCAAAGCATATGATTGATGATGGAGAGCTCTCCATACATATAAGATCAAAAACATTATAATTATTATTTTTATGATGACGAGTTTCTTTAAAATTAATTAATGCAATGTTATCCGGAAGTATTAAAATGTATACCATAAGACACTTGAGTTGAATTTAATTGGGATATGGATTTTCAGATGAGTATTTGGATTAAACGGGCCGGGCAACAGGCAGTTGAATATATATTTCACACAGACAATTAACGTATAGACAGACACCTTGACAAATGAGATGAGCTATAAAATTATAAAACTAACTATATGTGTATAAATATAGTAGGTTCACCATATTATCTTCAACATGTAGCTAGTAGGCTCATACCATATTTAATTTATATGTAAATATTGTTACAAGAATTTGGCATTATTTGACTAATAAAAAAATAGGAGCAGCAAATTAAAGAAGAAAAACTACAAAATGATTTAAATGGTGACTAATAAATAAATCGGAGCAACTAAAAAAACTTACAAAATAATTTAAATATTGTGGGAGTGTCATAACGACGACAATATTGTTTGAATTATCTATGTATAGTATATGATGATGGCCCATGGCATGGGCGTCTTTCAATTGCAACATTTAGAAAATACTAAAAAAATGTATTGGGGGAGTGCATGTGCTCAAATTGACAAATATAATACTCTGTAATAATAACGGTTAATTAGAAGTCTCCTAATTTTTTATTAGTATATTTCCTCAGCTCTACGGTTTTAAATTAAATTATCTGTTTATTGTTTATAAGTTCAAATTTTATTTACTTTTTTCCAATGAAGTCTGCTTATTTTTGTTATTTATTTAATAAAATAATATAGTAATATTATCTCTTATTTGTAAAACCATTGATATAATTTTTAAATGCTATCTCTGTCCCAAATTAGATAACAATTTTCACATTATGAAATAAAACCCCGTATTTTTTTGAATTACTTTATTTAAAAATTGATATAAAAATAAAAAATAAATAGGTCGTGCAAATATTTTATTTTATCAAATAACGGTTAACTAGAAGTCTCCTAATTTTTTATAAGTATATTTCATCACTTATTTACTTACAAATACAAAATAGAGAAATTTGCACTGAATAGGACTAAAACATATATAAGTCATACTCGGTATTTGTGTGTCTATATAAACCTTCAAGGCTTTAATACTAGATACTCCCTCCTTCCTATAAAACATTTCTTGTTTTGATTTTTAAAGGATTTAATAGAAGTGTGTTTTGGTATTGACTTTCCAAAAATGTCATAGAATGTGATAGGTAAAAATAGTTGTGATGAATAAATTAGAAGAGAAAGTATGATGTGATAGGTATGTTAAAAATTAGTATGAATAAAAATATTTTTTTAATAGAAATGAGAAAAGTTTTTTGGTACAAATGAAAAAAGAATTGAGAAAAATTTTCGACAAAAAGATTAGAAGAAATAACTGTCAAGAAAATTTAAAAATAAAGATAGAAGAAATGAAGTTTGATAGAAATAAAGGAAGAGTGAAAGTTGACGACTCCCATTAGCCGTGGTTGCACATGCTTGTCACATTCACTAATAACAAATTCTCATCTCAAAAGAGACTTTAAAAAACACTTTAATTATTTGTTAATTAAGTATGCTTTAAACACTTTTAAGGTGTGCGCTGGGCCTTTTAAGCACCAGCTAATAGATGATGGTTTAGCTTTGATTATAATAGACCTTACCAATTCAAATTCTTAGGCCGCGTTCTGTTCACCTGATTTCATTTTTAATAAATTTGAAGAACCTAATTTGATTGAATCTCGTCCGATCTGATTGTAGTTAT